ATCCCATCCCTCAATTCAGTCACAGTTCACGGCGTTCATGTATTTCGGATGGCTGTGAAGGTAATGAAATTGATGGAAGACGGAAAGAGTGTCCAGAGAAAGGAGAGTAAACGAAAAAAAAAGAATGTTGTGCTCTTTTGCTGTGATTATTGCTACCGCTACTGTATGCATGAACAGAAGAAGAGATGATGTGGGACATGAAAGTTTAATAATTTACAGTTAAAGGTATGTTTCTGCAAAAACATTGAAATAAAGCAATGGAAGATAGAAACGGATGAACGGAGTAACTTGATTAGTCATAAAGGAACATTAAGCGTACAGGTGTTTCAAGAAGTTCCTAGAGAGGTTACTTGTTGTTCTGTTTACGAACGAGTGAAACGGCGATAAACTTGAAAAATTCTTTCCGTATTCTCGTTCAGAATATATCAAGAATGAAAGAAAAGCGAATAAATGACTTAGCGTTTTGCATCTGTGTATTCCGCACCTTATGTTACACCTAAATTCACATGCATTCGTATAAAATTACATATATAGTTTCAAGACGAATAAATACAAATTTCTCCAGCTACGTCTCGCTTCATGAAACACTTCTTTTTTTGAAAAGAAATACTTGTCTTTCCATTATTCAACCGCTACCAATGTCTTCAAAATGATCGCAACCCTACATAAATATTCGGAATTATACATTGCTTCCTTGCCTCTGTCTAACTTAAAAACCTAAAAAGAACAACTTTCTTTCCTATTATTTCTTCAAATTATTCTTCGTCCATCACGTTATTATCAATGTTATTATTGCTGCTCCTGATTGTTGTTATTTTTGACGCACCTTTCATGTGTTTCATGTTTCTTCTTCCTATCCCACCCCATTCGTAATTCATTTGCAAACAATTTAAGGTGTGTGTTTCATTTCGATGTCTGTCCGAGTACTCACTTCGAATACTCTTTGCACAACTTCCACATCGAAACTATTCCGTCTTAAGACTCTCTTCAGCTCCCATCAATTATGTTCGTTTATTGTGCAAGTTATTCGTTTCACTCCACACAAAAACATTCAACTTTTTACTCGGCATTGCCCCTATAAAGATGCGCCCTCCGACGTATTTTTCACTTCAAACTCATTTCAGTCCCATCACTAGCAGCGGCTAATTCTAACGGCTGCCTCATCATGCTCTAACATTACCACATTATCTGAAACGTTGGTTATCATTAACGAGTTCTAGTCCTCTACTTGTCCTCTTACTTCATTTGAGGCCACTTCTCACCCGATGCTATCTAAATGGCTGAAACAGACCGTATCCATGCGTCCTGATGTGCATCTCAAAAATTTCCAGCCTTTGGTCGTCTATTCACTGTTTCGAATCAAAGTCACAGTTCAAATCGTCTCCATACTATGCTCAATAGGGCTGAGATATTATGCTTTTCTAGCGTGTCATCATTATCGCTTTGATGGCATTTGAATAGCATTCGATAGGTTTAAATGTTGAAGTCATAGTGATAATATCTGCAATAGTGGTCAAACTGAGCGACTACCATAATACCACCATATAAGAATATCTATTTGTTACAGGAATTCAAATTGGATGTATGTTGTGCTCTATCACTTCATGATAATAAAAGTAACCTTTACTGAACTCGATATTCGTCAGAAAAGTCCATTTGGATAATTGCATCAGAAGTGAAATGATAAAGTGAATTCAACATATCATTTTAGTCGGATTCGATTGAATCACTGATACGTTTTGATGAGATTCCATTATGTTATTTTAAGATTCTTTCGAAATGGAATTCATTCAGCTCATTTCTTTCATCGGCTGCGCTGCGCATTTCAGTTTCTGTTCTCATTAAGATTCCTACGGAACTATTGGTGTGTAATGCAATTTTCTTTTTAGTGTAAGATAACATTCGAAGTTGCACTCTTATGAAAACCGGTTTCAGATTATTGCAAACATGGTTATAGAGCCTTTGGAATGCATGCATTCAGTTGAAGTTATCTGTTCATTTCAAAGTTATGCGTGAGCACATACATAACCGTTGATGGGCAACATTATCCGTATNTGTAAACGTTTAAATCTCGCTTCTAGCGGATGTCACTGTGGGCTTGCTTAGGTTGACCTCAAGCCTAAACTGGTCACTTTTAGTTGAATTTTGATACCCACGACTGAATCCTGGTTCGCATTCCAGTTTAACTGTTCAAGCTGCTCAGGGTCACGCGTTATTCCGCATAATCGATTGCAATCATTTCAGTCATTTGCACCGCTGTCTGCGTTAGCTGAGGAAACTGCTTGAGGTTATCGCTAACTTGAATCCGTAAAGTTCCAGGCGAAAACCAATAATGAGTGTCAAAACGGTGGTCGGTCTAGCCACAGCCGGCTGCGCTTGCTTCATCGTGATGTCGCTCGTCGCCGTCTGCGTCATTTTCAACGATATTAACAATCTGTATGACGATGTTATGGATGAAATGGGCGAGTTCAAGGTAAGCTTTGCCTGAACCTGTTTAGCGCATCCAGACTGAAATTCAATCTTGAAACAGCTTTCTTTGAATCAGAAATACTGTGATTGTAACTGAGAATATAATGGAGCGTTGGACGTTTGCAGGCAGTAGTCGATGACACATGGGACAGGATTTTAATGCTGCACATGAACCCGTCAGGCAGCAGCGAGGCACCACCCTCATTTGCCAGTCTTTTCGGCAGGTACAAGAGACAGGCCGTCCCATCACACTGCCGTGAGTTGCAGATCTCTTTTTACATTAGTGTATTAATGCTAGTTGAAGAAGAACATCAGTGATTATCAACTACGCAAAATGAGCATACGATTTGTTATGAAAAGGATTTGTGTGTGGATAAACAAAAGGGAGAGTGAAGTGTCTGTCGAATGAAGAATGGCATTGAATAGCGAAAGTCTCTGCAATTAGATGTTGTTATCGATATCTTTTGAGTCGGGAAATATCTTTTGATGTGTTATCTGATAATAATTGGCGATTGTCGAATGAATTGGCTACAATTGCAGAGTGTACCGCACCACGTGATCAGTGCCCTGCAGGCCCGCAAGGACCTCCTGGTGACAAGGGAGAGCCAGGACCAAACGGTCCTGATGGAGAAGATGGCAGACCAGGTGTTTCTGGTGTTGCACTTCTTGCCACCCACGACATTCCTGGCGGTTGCATTGAGTGCCCGCCTGGACCTCCTGGACCACCTGGACCTGATGGACCTGAGGGAGATGCGGGACCAATTGGTGCACCAGGACGCCCAGGAACACCTGGCAGACCCGGACCCCCTGGCCCAGCTGGAGAACCCGGAGAGCCCGGACCACCAGGCCCAGAAGGACGTCCCGGACAACCTGGACCCCCAGGCAAAGACGGCAAGAGAGGAAAGGGACCACAAGGACCCAAAGGACCCGCTGGACCACGTGGACCACCCGGCGAGCCCGGCAAAGATGGAGAAAAAGGTGCCGACGGCGAACCTGGAGAACAAGGTCCCGCTGGACGACCTGGAAAGGACGGTCGACCCGGAAAAGATGGTCGCCCAGGACCAGTATGTTATTTTCCATTAGTACTTGAGAAGACTCGTGAACACCTCACGAGTAGTAAAAAAATGTGGAATTTTCGATGGAAAGTATCAGTTGCACATTTAAGCAGTTTTCATTCGTTTAAACTATTACCTGATCTAACTGCCGTCCTTTTCAAACTAATCGCTCGCTGATAACGCTGAATAGTTTTCTGTTTGGAGTATTTGGTCAATTACGGTGTTACATTCAAGTCAAATTTCAGGCTGGTGCCCCAGGATTGCCTGGACCAGACGCACACTATTGCCCGTGCCCACCCCGCAGTGCCGTCTTCCTTGTCAAATCGCACTAAGAAGCCTTCTACGAAATGCAACGACCCACAACCACAAAATTTTAGCATTCGAGCAATTTCATCATCATCACTCTTCCTTATCCATTATTTCACTGAAACATCGAAAATCGCTCGATTTTGCTGCAATAAAAAGTTCGCTACGCCTTGTTGTCTCAATGCATTTTATCATCATTTTCTCTATGTTTTCGTTCTGCTCAAATTTTATATCATTCACTGATATATCTGCTATCGTATCACACAAGTGGAGCTCTCAATAAAAAATTCATTTCAACCATTCATCATGCTTGTCGTATAGAGTAAACTTGTCGAAACATTCTCTCTCGTTATAATGAAAGCCCACAGCTTTTTCTCTTTCAGTCAGTTTGCCGTTCTGCGAAAAGCGTTCTGCGAAAACTAGCCGATAATTTTCCGTTGTGTACACCTGTCTTTCGGAAGCGCAATTCCTGGAATTCCCATTCAACACGTTTATTGGTTGAAAAAAGATCAATTGCTTGAAAAGATCAATTGCTTGCATGAGCGATTCACTGGAACCTTTGAACACGCGGTGGAACGGAGAATGTGCAAAAAAANAAAAAAACCCGACTGTTTCTAATGAATTTCTCTACAAATACTGAACTGAAATGTTCTCGGAACCGGTTCCATTTGTAGCCGAAAAGAAAAGTACGCGAAAATTGCCAAGTTTCATTGTGGTTAATAAAAGCAAAATAGCTGAAATATCTGCGTTAGCTGAAAAACTTTATAAAATGGTGACAGTCGACCTGTTTGTTGTTGTTGTTGTTGACTTTTTCGTGACATGCTGACAAATTTTCCAGCAGTTTCACCTGAAGACGGTAATTCGAAGACGAAAACAAAAATGAATAAGAATTTTCCCGTGCTACGCGATAATAACTTCAAACTTTTTATGAATTCATCTTAAACTAAGAATGATTACAGGCACTGATGGTGTTTTGCAGTTGTTGATTCAGTTTGAGGCATTTACGAATAATTTCTTCTGTCGCCATAATCACTATTCAATGTTTGCTGTAAAAAGTTCTTGCCACTTCGTTTTCATGACTGATGGCGTGTCTTAGTGCACTTAACTTTTCATCACTTCCATTCCCACTCTAAAAACTCTCAGAACCAGTTTTCGTGTGACGGCAAATCATCACAAAAAGGCTTCCTTCGTTCGGTTCGTATGGAATGCTTTTTGTTGATGAGAGAATAATGATTTTGCATTACTTTCACTTCACCTTATTCTCCAAATCGGCCGTTCGCATGCGTTTTGTGTTTCATGCATTCAAAGACACCATCACGCCTAACCACTCTTGCAAATAAGTGTAAATCTGCACTGTACATCAACACATACACAGAAATCGACAAAGCAAGCAGAAATTTAGCCAAGCTCTCTTCAACTAATTAAAATGTGATACTTGAAGTGAGCGGAATACTCGCTGAGTAATAACTCATTCTCGTTCACTTCTAACAACGCTAGAACTGGTTTTTGCGATCGCTGAGAAGAGGAGCGATTATATAATAATTTTATGTTTTATATTCGATAAAACTTCTCAATCTCAACTCGCAATTCCGCATTCTATCAACGCAGCAGCGTTCCACTGCCGTGTACCACCACCACTCAGCTCTCGTTGACGATTCACAAAAACAATTCATTTGAAAGTTTTCTTCACCGCATCAGAGAGTATTAAATGACCAGATATGTGTATAAATAAATGACTGCTACCCTTATTTCCTTACAGATAAATTCTTCATTATCACGGAAAAGTTTTTATGCATCATTGCAAAAAATTTTTTTGCTTCTTTCTCTTTCAATCAACTGAAAATACACCGAAGTGTTGCCGATGGGATAATCCATCCCTTTACTTGAATCACTATCAGACAATATGCTAAATCGCACATCAAAATGAAGCAGTTGAAGGAAATTTTATTATT